ATATTTTGCATTTACGTCAGACTTGCAAAATTTTATATTTTATTCTTTTTCAATATAGGCGACATATGACGTTATTTAACTTGTTACTGGTGCAAAAGCGAAGATCCCGAAAATCTGTTCTGCAAAGCCGCATAACACTGTTCGAGAGAGAATTTACATCGCGTCGATATGTTAAAAGGTACGGAATTATAGAGTCCTATAGTTCGAAAATTTGTCATTCACGTTTGCCGACGACGTCGAAGAAATGACGATTGATAACGGGCGCACATTGCATTCCGTTTACTACTGCACTTTCACTGAGAGTCGAAAGAGTCGCCAACCTGTTTTCGAATTACGAATTCCAACTCGCTAGTTCTTACCATCGTTCATTGATTCACGTTTCGCGTGTACAGTAAAGACTCTTGTGTTTATTCACACGACAGAATCGATTTTATGCATATGTTCATCCTTTTAGGACACAGTAAGACAAACTCATTCAAAAGTAATCATATCTTTCTGAGATATATCGTTAATGCACATGTACCATGATTTCTTCTGTCTAAGCTCCTGTCAACGAATAATTTATAAACAAACCGAATTTTGTGAATCCGTTGCAACTATTTTGCTCATTTACATCTGAAAAGGTTTGTTTATACACTACTGTGTTCGAAACATGGTATAAATTTGCCGACAGAATTAATTCAATTCCGTTTTGATAGCGTTATTCAGTTGTTTTTTGTAAAAAGATACTTTGCTGGTAACGATATAAATTTTAAACTGTTTCCAAAACAATCAAAATCAAGGAACGTAAGCGAGCTATCTTCAAATGTGACTTCGCATGTGCATCGATTCTCTCTTTATTATAAAAATGATGTTGTATTAACCGGTTAATTATTAAGTTTAATTCCAAACAATCTTGTTAATTCAATAACAGTATTAATGGAACAAATACGTCATGCTCTTGCTCTAATAAAACATTTCATTGATATTGTTATTGAGTTAACAAGATTATCTTCAATTATTTTCAATTAATGTTGTTAATGCAACTTTATTTCATTTTGCGTAGGTTTACTTTCGAAATTATGCGAGTCGTCTCTTCACGTTCTAATCGCAATGCACCCGGGTAAAGGTCAGAATGGTCCAACTTACCGATGTGTGGGAACGAACGAACGGTGTTAGCCGATCGCGCGTGAATGCCCGGCTTCGCGATGTCCGCGATGCCGATGGCGTTTTGACGGTCGTAGAGCTCCCTAAGCGAGTGCGGGATATAGGCCTGGCCTTGCGGCCTCGGTCTCTTCGCGAGGCCCAGGAGGGAGAGCAGGCTGGCCTCCATCCCGGCTATCACCTGGTCGCGATCCTTCCGATCCGTCGTTCCGAAGCGATACGACGACGATGATGAGAACGCCGTGGCCGTGTCCGGGTCGATGCGTAGGCTCGTCTCCGCGTTAGCATTCGCGCTTGCTAGCAGCGTGACTGCTGCCACGAGCACTAACCCCAGCGGCGGCGACATGCGCATCGTGACGTCGTCACTCACTCACGTTACCTCCCTGGAAGCACGAAAAGAAGAAACGCCGTTAAAAGGAGCTGCCGTTATCGATATGCTGCTGCACAATCAGATCTAGATTCTGGGTTCCAGATTAGATCCCACTTCGAAAAAAAAAAGATCTTTCTTACGTTTCTTCTCGATGAAAGAAACTATATAGACTGAGCTTCTAAAAATCTAGACTGAAGATCATATGGTCGCGGGCGCAGAATAGAACTCCGTTATTCGATGAACACACATCGCGCGGTTATAAATTAGTATCGCATTACGTAATTGAGGACCATCGACGCGCGCGCGATTATGTAACATTTGTTGATTTAAATCGTAAGTATTTAATAAATGGTATTTTTATTCTTTTATAGAAATTTTGTGATTTTTAAGGAAGTAATATTAGAACGAATATCCTTACAGTCGATTTCAATGGCAATTTAGTCGGATTTTTACTAGCTGGTCTCCTACAGGAAAAATCAGAGGAGATCACGGAAGATACTAGAAGAGGCACCTTTTACCTAGCAGAACGACAGTAGGACTGAGGTGTTCATCAGGGAAGTGCATTACGGTCTAAAAGGAATTCGGGGAAGGGATGGGAGGACCTTTCCTCAGAGATAAATTATAATCCCTCAATCCCTGCGGTAATTGGTCGCATTAAACAGCCAATACAAAAGCGATGAGTCACAAAATGCAGCTTTCAGGTGAAATATTTCAATTACTTGGGAATAGGTTTGCTTCTTCGTGGAAAAATTCGTCGATACTTCTTTTTTACCGTGAAAAGTCTATCAAAGAACGCGCGGTAAAATTGAGACGTTAACGAGGGTACAATAAAATTTGTACAACAGAGATTGTATATTTTCAATAAATTTTTTAATAACTTTGGAACAAATTTTAATAAAAGCTTTATTGTAAATCATGTATTGGAGCGCCACGAAGTCAACTAGTGAAATTAAATTAACTAATTCTGCGCTAATTTCCATCATTTGTTCACGGTTTGTCGTGGGGAAAAAAAAGTGGCGCAAATTTTGTTTGATTTAATCTAGTTAATCCCGTGATCTTTCGAGGTACAGCGAAGACTATCAAAAATGTTACTCGACAGAGCTGCACAATGACTCTCTGAGTCAGCATTGGTCAGTATTGGTCAGCATTGGTCAGCCTTAAAGCGGAGGAAGAGCAGGCCCAGGGCCCGATCCGATTGGTCATCGGTTCCTGGGCCTGCCAATGGATGTGGAGAGATTCGTCGAATCAGGCTCCGTTACAAAGTAATCGCTTTCTCTTACTCTCAAGCGGATATATTTTTTTAACGATCTTATATACGGTGATTCGAAAATACTCTCGCGACCTCGCGGAACGGATTAGACGAGCAAGATTAACGGGGAGTATGACGATCGCGTGAACATAATAAACTTCTTTTTGTGTCGTAATATAATACTATCATAATTATTCGAGATACATTCACCCCATTCACCTTTTACTGTTGATTGAGCTGATATTTTAATTGAGACTGCATACCCAGCTGAACATGATTACTTCTTGCTAGATTTAATAATTTAATAGCTAGCTCTCTTATGCAGTTTAATTTGCTCTATTATTAGTAACAATACAAGCGCGAGTAAGTACGCAAAAAAAGCATGTTTTACAATAAGTATAGCCTGGCGAGTTTAAATATCACAATGTAATGGTTTGATGAATAATCAAGATTTAATAATACATAACAGTTCATCAACATCTACGTATCTATAATGCAAAACTTTTACGGATTCTCAATGCAATTATGAGTTAAAGACATGATAAAGCGATAAACTTGAAAGGAATATCAATCGAATCAGTGATGGTATAAGCGCGCATAAACGATTTGTTAAAAATACTGGAATTGTTCATCAAAAAATGAAGTGAAAAATCTCTGGTCGACAAAAGCCAGAAAACCGGAAAACAATATAAATTCCGATCAGAGAATTTGAACGTGACTTGGACGCCACTTGCTAAAGCGAGTCATCTATCCCACTCGCCTGGTTCTTTCCTCATCATTTTAACCGAGCCACCCCATTTAAACGCACGCGATTATTATTTACAACTTCTAGACGTGTCTGGGAAAATATCCGCGCCCCGAAAAAATCACGACTTCCACTCGCCGTCCAGACAGCGTAACATACGCCACGGCCGGCTCCGTTACGAGCTCGCGGCTTGGTATAATAATTTCGGAATCAATCGAACAATGTTGTGCCGTGACATACTTGCCGCGTGCATTAACGGTAGAGTTCCGCCGGTTGGCCGGATGAAACTGGTTTTATCCGCGATTTTAAGCGTGCGCGTTTCTCAAAGGCGGAATATTTATGCGCCGCGCGCCGTGACTCGCTCGCGCCCGCAGCATTATCTGTGGATGTTGAACAGATATGTGTCCCCTTCCCCTCCACTCGCCCCTCCGATCACACTCTCGATTTCATTCAGTGTAAAATACTAAAGTAAGATTGGCGAACGCCTTCCTCCATTAGCGTTACGCCAGAACGGATTGTCGTATCGCAGGGAGACCGCGCTGGTACTCCGCGATATTGCCAGAGAGAGGCGAAAACAAGCCTCTCTCGTCGTCGTATAATGATGTTTTAGTTTAAATTTAATTTGAATATTCTCTCTATGATATCAATCGACGAACATGAATTAAAGAGTTACGTTAAAAAGAGAAAAATAACTAAAGATACGTAATATATGTCGCATTCCGCCATAAAAATTTTGTATCTCTACGTGTAAGAGTTGCGTTAGTTTTAGATAAACATTCCATTGAAGCAGATTAAGACTAAAGCGTTGTAAGCTCGATGACCAAAAATCATCGATAAGTTATAATATAAGTTTGAATAGTTCGACACACGATGTTTCTATTAGAACACTTCTTTTCCCATCCGATACAAGAAAGTTAACGATCCCTCGAGATCGTAAAGGGTAGAGGGTAGACTCTAATAAGAGTCGCGACACAGAGCAGCTGATTTTGATTGGTTCGCATTTCGGCAAAATTTCGGCAAAAGCACGATAAACAGAAAGAGAAAGAGAAAGCGATATGAATGTATATCGCTTATTGTATATCGCTTTCTCTTTCTCTCTTATATCCGATGTCGCGACTCTTATTAGAGGGATCTAGTAAAGGGATATCGCAAGGGACATCTCGTTTGTCGGATAGGAAAAGGAGTGCTCTAATAGAAACGTCTTAGCAACGTGAGATTAAATACGGAAAAACGCAAGGCATTCGAATGAATCATAATGCGTATAATGGATATGCATTAAGGAGATACATTATTGGGAAAATACCACTTCTCGTAATTGAACGCGATATTTTCCTCTTCTCGGTTTTATAAAATAAAACAAGCACACGAGCGGGGCACGAGTTCTCGGTATTCGTGCACGCACGGTATTCTCATTAAGAGCGATGCTACACGCACGCTAATTAAGTCTAATAATTCCTTTTTTGCCGTCGGGGATACTTTTTTCCGGGGATGAGGACGCAGACACGAGAATGAAAGATCTTTCTTTCGCTATATACATATTCGCAAACGCGGCGATATTTGAAATCCCTCATACTCTTCATATATACTCATATACTTTTCACTTAATATTTTTCTTCATGTTCCTTCATCCTCTTGTTCTCAACCATTCCGATATATTTATAACTCTATTTATTCAATGTGTTTCTACCCACAAATGTAGCTACAACGATCGCATTCGTGGGAAAAGGAAAAGACGGAGCTGGAAATTAGACGCTAATTGCTGTTCGACAAGTTCGGACCTGTCCGGACTCCGATTCGCGCCGATCGCGTGTCTTTACTCGGGCTTGGCAGATAACAGCGGGACGCAATATGGCGGTTTGTACCGCTCGGTGGGATACTGTGTGAAATACGCAGTTTTAAGCCCATCCACGGCACGAGGGCTCGCGGTCCTCTCGCGCGGCCCTGGCAGGCACGAACGTGATCAGAGAGACGGGGCAGAAAAGGTTGGTGGGACCAGAGCCAAGCTGTCTGCCGCCGCCGCGCCGCCTCTCGCGCGCTGGCTCGCTCACGGAACCGCGCGGCGCGGCACGATGTGGCGTGGCGACGGGAGCGCGAGCCGACCGAGAGCTCGCGACTCTCGTTGCGCGTTAGGTAATATGTAGATCCTTTCCTCGAGAAACGCCTCTCTCGTAGCGACCAACTTGTTTTTCAAGGACAATGAATTTACCGATGGACGCATTCGCGCGGAAAAGGCTCGTCACGCTTGCATTCCTCGCGGTGCATAATGGTGGGTGCGGGCGCGCGCGCGCGCGCCTTCCTTGGCAAAAGGTGCCTCGCCGCGCGGATAAACAGCGTAGCGGCTGCAGCGGTCCCAGCGTCCGCCCTTCGTCGACCACCGGCGGTCCGACGGATAGAGAGTCGATCCGAGCCGTCAGGTATGCGACGGGGGAAAACGTCCGTTCGCCGGACATTTTTCGGGGAGACCACCCGCGTGCTCGGCACGGCCCCCAAATGGTCCCCGCGGTTCGTTAATGGGCGGCGAGGCGATTTCGTAGGAATTCACTCGCGCCGCCGCGCCGCGCCGCGCCACGCCACGCCGGTTCGTTACCAAGCCCCCCTTCAATTGACGGAATTCGCGATTGGCGCGAGAACGGCGACGGCGACGGCGGTAAACAATCACCGCACCGCGCGTCGTTCTCCGCACGCGTCGCCTCTACCTGGAAACAACACATATCCGACGGATTTGCATTCGCATTCGCGCGCACCGCTGCCTGGCAGCGGCGCGCTGGAATGCGGCGCGCTGGAATATACAAGGATAAGGTCGGAGTCAGAGCGCGCGCGGTGCTCCGAAGACTCCAAAGTGCGCGCGAGTCACATACAGGCGTAGAGGCGCGTCATCGTCTAAAATAATCGGGCCAGGCTGATGGCGGGGTAGCGGCAGCGGCGACAATGAGCGCGGCGACGGTTGAGGAGGTTGAGGAAGAAGTGGGTCGGAGAGTAGAGCGGTGGGACGCGGCGATGGGAAAGAAAGGAAATAGAAGAAGGAATCTCGCGGTCGCGCGAGTGCGTCGCGCGCGTCGCGAAGCAGAGAGAGACAGAGAGAGAGAGAATAGAGTAAAGAAAGATAGATGTATAAAAAAACAGGAGAGGAGATCGAAAGATAAAGACAGAAGGAGAAATGTTGCGCACACAGGTAGAGAAAGAGAAAGAGACAGAGAGAGAGAGAGAAAAAGCAGAAATTCTTGCTCACCTAACTATAATCGTGAGTCCGTAGTCTGAACAGCCACGGCATCTCAAGTCGGGGCCTGACGAGTGCACCACGCGTAACCTCACCTCACACTGGCACCACTCGCGTGCGCGGTCCACAACGCAAAAACCAGGAGGGCACTCTCCGGTGTTCCGCCGATGGTCGGCCCGCGCTAGCGGCGCGGAAAGAGGGACGGGGAAGGGAGATGGGAAGGGGGAAAGAAGGAGTCTCCCGAGAACGGAGCAGCGACGACGACGATGTCGACGTCTCGACGACGATCCCAACGGTTCCGACGGATTCTCGCGCACTCACGCAGCACAAACACCTGCGCGCGCGCGCGCGCGCGCTCTCTTCACTCAAAATCCGCGCTCGCGACGATTGTTATTCTCCTCGTTGAATGCGCTGTTTTATTTTCCACGGCACCATATACGGTCGTCGCGGGCCCCGATGACGGCCAATGCGGCGGTGCCACCGATAATCCTCTCGTCGATCAGGCGGTCATAACGCGCCGTGCGTTAACCGAGAGTGTGCTCTCTCGGACTCTCGTCGTCGTCGTCGTCGACGGCGGTGGCGGCAGCGGCGGTCGCGGCCTGCGGCGGTGGCGGTAACGAAGGGGGGAGAAGCCGGAGTGGGGGACGGGGCCCACACCTTCGTACACCTGCGCGACCTATCAACAGGTCCCCGCGCGCGCACGCACGTACGTAAGTACGTACGTACGTACGCGCGCACGCACGCACGCACCTACGTTACGTACAGGGCACGCGGAATCCGGCCCCGCCGAGTTCCACGCCGATGCGCAGGGTATAACGCGCGGATCCTCTCCTCCCTCGCTCCTTCGCGCTGCGCTCGCTTCCTCCCGTTTCTACCTGCTGCTGCGATATACGTATCGCCAGGATATACGCGCGCGCGCCAGCACTTCCCGACGGAACGGACACTCCCGCGTCTCCTCTCGCGTTTCCTTCGCCTTTATTTTCTTTATCTCTCTCTCTTTCTCTCTCGAAAGAGATGTCGCGAAACACGGCGAGAGAGCTGTTCCCAGGAAACGTGGGTATCCGCGCAGCCGCGAGCGAGCGAACTATCGCGAGGTTTAGGCAAGGCCGCGTTCGGACGTGCGCTTCAGGACCCCGTTCCAGCTCGCTCCGTTCTACTGGCCCTTTCTTTTCTACGACAGGCCACAGGCCCCCCCTTCTCCCTCCTCTTCCACCGCCCTGTTGGCCGCCGACTCCAGGACCGCTGCGTCGACGCCCGCCGTCCCGGGTGCATTCCACGCGCGCTGCATCCACTGCGTTTCGTTTCCCTTTTGCCCCGCCGCGTCGATCCACGATGTATCGTGTGTGACCTGGACATAAGGTCTCGGCGATTTCGATGTAAATATATGATGTGGTGTCCGGTTGCTGAAAAATTACAAACCGACGCTTTTATCCGCGTCCGGATACATCGTTGCGACGAATCATATCGAGATAAAGCGAATTCGACGTCTTTTTAAATTGTTTTCCCGGCTAGAGTCACGCTAGATTCGAGTTTACCGTCACAGAAACAATCCGTGACTATATACGACGAAAATTTCCAGCCGTTTAATTTGCAAGAGTTTACTATTTACTTATTTAATTATTATATTTTGAAATTTTTTTAATTATTTTCGTCAAGTAAATTCAAGCAAGTGCAACGAAACGGCAAAGCACGGAGATAAATAAAGGAACAAGAACTCGTACCTCCCCCCTTCGGGGAACGTCACGCAACGTTCGTCGCAGCGACGTTCCTGCGCAAACTTCCTCCTCCTTGTTCCACTCGCTGGACACGTCATCGTCCCTCGCTCGCACTACCGTTCTCGGACAGCTCGGAGTTGCTTCACCACTTCACCAGCACCAGCCAGTCTGCCGGTGCTGGGTCCTCCCTCCTCCGTTCCCCTAGGAGCGCCCACCCGCCCATCCCGTCTCGCTTTTCATCGCTTATGCCTCCTTGCCTGCGAGCGGTGGTCCCCAACCCTATTCCGCCGTTCATTTTCGACGTCTCTACTTTTTTCGGGGAACTGTATCCTGTATCAATCCGGGTCTTCCGTAGAGAATTCTTGGGCAGTCGGTTTTAGCGATTATTCGGCACGGAAGTCACGTAACTACGATCCTACAATCGTAAACAGATTGTTTTATGTCGGGAAAATAAAGATCGGACGTTGCCGGAGAGCAAACGTTGGTAAAACATAATTGTCCTTATCAATTTCGAGGATACACGTACATATACTGTATAAATATAGAAATTGGAAAGAGAACGATAAAAGTGGTATCATAATTTTTAAATACCAATTTTACCGAGTAAAAATTCCGTTTGATATTTATTGCGACAACTAAAATTTGCGAATAGAGAACATTTTACGTTACTCTGATATTGATATCATCATTTTATCAATATTATTGACTGCGGAAAAATTCCGGAAATCTCATCTGTGTATAACGTTTGAATGACTTTAGGAATTATAATCAATTACTGTGCAATTTTCTGCAAACTATATGAATCCATGCGGAACAGTTTTAATAGGTAAAAGTAAATTACATAATAAATATCCTATCTGTACCGCGTATATATGTACATATTAATATTCATCGATAATCATTATAATATACACATACAGGTAAGCATAAAATAGGGTCGTTGCATAAAATTTTTTTATTAAGCGGTATCCATAATTAATGTAGAGAATCTAAGCCGATTTTTAATACTTTTTGAATTTAAAAAAAAAACCTAAATTTGAGAAAGTTATAGCTTTCTAAAGTTTCTTTGATGACGGCAACTTCAAAAGATTTCGCAACAAGCTTATGACGTCACGCACATTTTCGTGTACTATATTTTCTTCAATTTTGAAGATATTGCAAAAATTCAAAAAGTTTACAAAGAAAGTATGCCATGATCTATCAGACCGCTTAATAAAAAAATTTTATGCAACGACCCTATTCTATAAAAATAAAAGATTTGCTAGCTTTTTGTGCTATTTCTTTCGGAAGAATTGGAAAAGAAAAATTAAAAATCGCCAATTAAGAAAATATAAAATCACCATATGATAACAGATCAAATTTACAGAAGATAACGATGTTATCGTCTACCAATGTATCATAATACAGTCATGATTTTTATCGATTAAGCGTCACGTGATACGCGGTCAATTTTATTGAAATGCAACATTTATTTTATTATTTAAAGCATTTTATTTGAAATAAAAAAATATATAATAAGATCTCTGAATTAATATTTTCCACTTTTTTTCCATGAAATTATCGTCGTGCAGTTCCTTCTAGTATACTTTTGCGATTTCTGAGTCTACGTTTGTGGGTATATTTTCAACAAGTTTATTACAATGAATTTTACTTGTTAGTACTCTTATCGCTATTTTTCTTCTTATCATACAAAAATATCCGATCCATTCGAGTGATTCATCCCAATGAATTTTATTACTTATGTATTACACTTATTATTTTTCTTTTCATCGTACAAGAATGCTTTACTCTCTCGCTTTCGCCTCCATATATTTTTTTATTCAGATCTCGATAAGAATTTTTATTTACAAAATTATTATGTTATATGTACAAGAAATATTTATATTGTATATATATATATGTATATGCAAATAGCTTTATAGAATTAATATTATATACAACTATTCGTTTTTATAATCGTTAATGAGTGACATTATGCAGTCACTTCTGGAAAAAGATTTACTAGGAGGTGATCTAGTAAAAGATACGCCAGATGCTTATTGAATGGCGCGTTTTGTAAAGGGTCTAAGAGAGAATCCATGAGATTGTTCCAAGGCTTGGAAAATCCCATTAACCACCACAAGGAATGTAGCCCCTCCTTCGCCGTTTCGTAGTAATTTCGACCTTTTCCTTGCGAAGGAAAGTCCTTCATGTAATTTTTGCCCACTATTTTCGCGTGCAGAAGCTTGACGACGATGGAAGCGCGGCCACCACTCAGAAGCTTAACTAGAGTGTTGTAGAACACCGCATTCACAATAGGATCTAGTCTTTTACGCGATAAAAAGGCAAACATCCAGAAAAGTCGCGAAATAATCGGAGGTACAGTTAGCAGACCATCAACTGCAACGTAATGACATCATTTTTAACAATCGTCATAAATAATTGCGTGAACGCACTTGAAAAATATAAATTTTGGACTTACGAGCTTCAACGATGCATAAACTTGCACCTTTCATGTGATCCCGCTGCGGTAGACTGCACGGCAAATTTTGGAAAGTAACTGGAAGATTTAAATTATTGCCGAATACCTCGTCTATCAGCTTTCTACCTTTGCTCTCCGTTTCGCCGAGATGCTCGCTCGACGGCTCGACACCCATATCCATGTGCTCGTATTTCGTGTTCGTGGACGCCAAGAAAGTGCTCATGAATTTATCGAGATGTTGCCCCTTCTCCTTCCGCAATTTGTAAGCCATGCTCTGATACAGAATGCCAATGTCAGGTGTGCTATAGTTTGCGAAATACGGTTTCAAGTTTGGCGTCGTGAGGAAGGTGTAGAGGAGCTCGCTGCTTCTCAGCATCGGTTTGGACAACAACTTCTGCAGAAATTCCTCGTAACGTTGACGGTTAGCCGTGAGGGACAAGTGTGGATTTTTGCGCGACGGTAACGGCGAGTCATTTAATTCCTTGTCACCGTGGAATTCGGCGAGTCGCGTTCGCAGCGTATAGAAATCTTGATCCTGCCGCAAGACCGTCCACGATTTAGCCTCCGCTACGCTGTGAACGGCAATCATGTACACCGGTTGCGTGCCACCGCCGTCCACGTGTGGGACGGCGACTCGCCACGTCGTTAAGTCGCGATGACTCTTATCGCCGAAGCCTTTGATTTCGTTATACGCTCGAGCTGTGCAATCTACTTCTTCGACCGGGTAGGCGTCATGCAGTTGAAACGGCGTACCGTCGATTGTAGTTGGGCGTAAAACACCATCGACCTTGCCTTGTAGTTGATTATTGAATCGCATAGGAGTAGATGTACCTCCACTCGCACTACTGTAAGCAAATATACGTGTTTATACAATTATTATAATTGTGCAAATTTTATTAAGAACTAACACGTATAAGTTATGTCTAAATTTACAAGATGTAACATCCATTTAATTTTTATTCGTTAAAAAGAACGCTATTAGAAAACTGCCATTTTTTCTGGTTTATTATACGTGGTAATTATAACTATAACTGAGACATATAATAAAAAAGTAATCAATCGCGAAATAAAATAACAGGATTAAAATGTATGATGAGTTTAAAAAGGTATGCACATCTTAGGAGTTTACTTACTTAGCTGCTGCAGTAGCTTTTGTTTGTTCTGACAAGTGACCGCACAAGAGTTTATATAACTAAAACACACAATAAGTAAAGACATTATTAGAATGTAAAATTTCATTATTAAATTTAATATATCAGGATTTAAAATATTGAAAATAATATGGAAAATAAATAATAATAAAGATAAATCATAAAATGTCTTTTACTTGGTAACTATGATGGAATGATGGTAGACAAGTACTTTCTAGAAGCGCGTGTGCTTCTTGATGAGCTTGATAAAAAGGCCGTGATGTCCGCAATTCTTGAATTTTTTCTGGCCCACCTTCCAGTACTGGAAACAAACATGTATATATGTATAATCCGTATAATAGTATTTGAAACTAAAATTATTTATTTACAAATCGCTCACTTTGTCGTATGCCTTTCGATATATGCAACGGTAAATATAAATATTCTGAGCCATCAGGATCAAGATATACCGTGTACATATTTCGAACATCTGTGTATAAGCTTTTTTCAGCACTAGTTGACATTTCCGGATTTAACATACGTTTACTGAGATCGTCTAAAATTAAATAATGTAAATTATAAGTTATTAAAATATTTATATTAGATTAGATTGTCAAAAGTTTTATATGTACCAATATCTAAACAAAATTGGAAAAGATTCATGGGTCCTGATTCTTTGATGTGCTGCATAAACATATATAATAGCTCAGGATCATTCAGGATTTCATTTAAAGATGGTTTGAAGCAACTGTGCGTGATATGTGAATGCATCGCTGGATTTGTCACCCAAGATTGCAATATCGGTACGCTAATGCTCTCTGCAGCGTTAGATAGAGTAGTGTCACGGTGAGTGGATAATGTCACTAGCATATTTATATTTTCTGGATCCGCGAGCGCATCAATTGCCGGTAAGAGCACCCAATTTGCTAAAATTTCTCGAAGTATCACCTAGAAGTACACATGAATTGAAAGAAGCGTATGACACAATTGTTTTTTTTATATCATAAATGTCGCAAATACATAAGTATACAGTAAATGCAAAAGCTGGAGTGAATTTTGAAAGAACGTAATATCACCTTATTGTTTGTCGAGACATGTATGGCGGGTAATAAGTGCGGTAGCAGCGCGGTGACTAATCCCCGTAAATAATTCAACTCAGCTTCCCTTGAATAGGCAGCTGGATGAATTTTGGAGCTCAAGCAATTTCCGATGTAATCTTGGGGCGTTTTCACTTCAGACTTGGACATTTTGAGCAGTGCATTCCAATCTTGAGCGTGTTGTATGGCCAGGGGAATCAAGCCGTCGAAGGCGATGGTCGCTGTGTTTGCACGTAATAATCGAATGGCGATATTCTTCGCCGCTGTTGTTATAGCTAAACGTAACTGTTGTACGAAAGCCTCGTTCGCCGAGAAATCCGAGTACCATGTGCAGACGTAAATTTGCAGTACATCCTCCAGAAGCTACAAAATAAATACATTCACGTGTCTCTTGCCGACAAATAAAGAATAAAATTTGTGTGAGACAGTAAGATGTGTGACGATTAATTACTTGCTCCAATGCGTGGTCAAAGTCCTTCGGTACTTTGACCTTGGTTGAATGCGGCAGCAATTTGTGCCTTTTACAGGTGTTCTTGCTGCAGACACTGCACGAATCCTTAACTTCGTATCTCGTGGTAAACTTGTCGTTTATATTGAACCTCGTCAGCAAACTGTCGACGCATTGCACCAGCTGAACGGCGTAAAGACTGGCAATCACGTAAATACCGGCTACAATGAACACCCACGCAATGCTGCAAAAAGAGTAGAGTAATAGAGTAAATCTCATATAAATAATTCATACATATTATTGGCAAATATGTCATTTACCTATTAAACACAACCACGATAAACGTGATAAGGAAAACAATGATCGCCGACACTGCGGCGCTAAAAAAATATAGATCCTGCATCTCGTCGCTGTTGAATAGCACGCGATGCTAAAGAGAGATAATTTTGTCTAATAAAACATTTTTGTGGTTATCACAGGGCCACTTTTAATCGAAGAAGCTTTCTCGGCGGCCTCGGCGCACCGAGACACATCACACAGGTCGTCTCTTTTATTGAATTCCACAAATGACAGCTTCAAATGGCGACTCTACGACGCCCTGACAAGTGTTTAGGTCTAGGTGCTGTGAAAAGTCTCAATTGCAACCGCGGCGAATCGCGGTGGATAGAAACAAAGAACAACGCGGAAAAGGAGTCGATTTTATTTTATATTTCCGATGCGATGATTCAAGAGCGGATTCAGCGGATTGAGAAACTTTTTATCGCTAGAACAATGATGACATAACCTAAATGCAGACATGTTATATCTATATTGTATATAGATGCGTTGTGTTATCGTTTGATATATTGTAGTCTCGGATTTCGTATCCCATGTGATATTTTGATGAAAGAAACAAAGCCGCAACGATGTCGAGACCCCCGGATCCGAAATTTCTGCTGCGCGGCGACATGGATGAGGACGTTCACAGTTTGTTGTTCTCGATTAATTCTGACGTCGAGCATCTCTACGCTGGCGATGGAAAGGGCACAGTTCACATTTGGGATTTAAAAGTAAACAGTTGTTCTTAGTAAATCGTAATAGTTTAATTGAATTTAATTAATAAAAATTTATACACACTGTGTGAGAGAGAGAAAGAGAGAGAAGTACTGTATTCGTGACATAAATTTATACGCAGAAAAGAATGTTGAGATTTGTCAAAAGAATTAAAACTGTTTTATCATGTTGCAGACGAACAGGATAAAATATCAATTGTCAGATGGATGGAGTCCATGCTTTAATTTACATACAACTAATGAGACTGATTTAATAGTACAACGAAGACACGGAGTGATTGATGTGTACAAAATAAGTGAATCAAAGTGGATATTAGACAGAAGCACCAATTATGAATTTTGCAGTTTTTGCAGGTATATTAACAAGTAAATCGGTTGTAAATATATTGATAAGCAAGTCTATTAAAGTTAATATCAACATTTTTTTTGTATCACAGGTCTCAATTGTTATCTGAGAAGGATGCAGTGTTGATTCCACTTGACAATTCCACAGTAGGGATATTATCATTGAAAACGTTCAAAGTGGAGTCAACATTAGACCCGTCCAAACTGTCCTACAATGACAAATTAGGTATGGTAATGGCGATGAAACCGTTGGTGGATACGAATGGCTTGATTCTAGTTGCTTACGAGGGCGGGAAATTATTGTTGTGGGACATGAGGAAGAACGATGTCCTCAGTTCTCTCACCGTGGAACAATATCCAATGACTTTCGATTTTGACGCCTCCTTGATGCAAGGCATTCTTGGTAGCGCGTCAGAGAAATTGGAGGTGCATAACTCTACTGTCTAAAAAAAAATGTGTATCACTCTGATATTGATAAGTTATATTTATAAAAATTTTTAGACTTTTGAAATGTCACCGAATCATACTTTATCTCACAAATCTACGAGACTCTTGGAGCATGTTTCTGGCATAGCCACTCTTTCTGTAAGACCGGACAAAAAGATTGTCACAGCTGGCTGTTGGGACGGACGTTTGATGTTGTTCTCTTGGAAGAAATTACGGCCACTTGCGATATTAAAAGAACACAGAGCTAGTATATACGACATTGTTTATTCGCAATGTAAAGTCGAAGCTTACGATACCAAGTGTTTAATGGCAGCGACTGGCAAAGGTGGCTATATATCTATGTGGGATATCTATAATTAGGAACCTCACAAATGCATACATGTACATTTATGTATACAAAGCAACAAATATAAAAATATATTGTATAGTTATTGCAAATGATCTAATAAGTCTTTCCGTATTCCTGTGTATCAAAGGAAGGGACTGTTGCATTTATATAATCATTGTTATATAAATTCTCTGAGTATTAAAACGCATTTTGTTTATTATACAACTGTACATGTGGTTTTTTTTATCATTGCCATCGAACTATGTGATACGTCTTTTTACCAACTCTGAGCAATGATATATTATTACTTAGTATATGGATGCCAGGTACAATTACCTCATTTAAATTAGTAATTTTTTGATGATTTACATAAAATCCGCCCGCTGTTATGATTCGTTCAGCATCGTGATCGGTTTTAAAGCACTTTGCCTTCTTTGCTAGCTCGTACACGGTGATCCCTGGCTCAGATAAGATCTCTACTATGGTTGCGCCTTCGAACACATCTGTTAGTTCCGATGCATTTAATCTTACAAATGACTCAATTGATTTATCATACAATGCTGCAGAGGCGCGCTTTGCGGCCAGCAATCCATCCTCTGTAAGTAGTTAAATGCGGTAAATAATAAGTAAATAATAACAATAATTTTTTAATAAAAATTACCTCCGTGTGCTAAAAGCGTAACTTGCTCCGCTAATAATTTTTGTGCCCTTCTCTGTTCCGGATCGTTCATATGACCGTTCACAATTTCAGTAATTTTATTCAACGGTATAAATGTGAATAGTTTTAAGAATTTTTCGACGTCGGAATCTTTGGTTCTGATGAAATACTGATACAGCTGGAAGCTCGAGGATTTCGTCGGAGACAGCCATACCGCGTTCAAAAGAGACTTTCCAAATTTCTTTCCACCTTCAGCTGTTATAAGCGGCAACGTTAGGCCGTAAACTTCTTTTCTCAGACTTTTTGTGATCAGGTCGTATCCAGACATGATATTACCCATTTGGTCACTGCCACCAATTTGAAAGCGACACTTGTAATTTTTCATCAACTGAAGCCAATCATACGCTTGGAATACTTGATACGTGAATTCAGTGAAACTCATCCCTACGTCGGAGTTCAATCGCGACTGGACGGAAGATCGGCCCAGCATTGTGCCCATTCGAAAATACTTTCCAATACTTCTGACAAATTCAATGACGTTTACGTTTGTGTACCAGTCCAAATTGTTTATTATAATTAGAGGTTTCAGCTTCGTTTCCTTGTTTTTCCAAAAGTAATCCTTGTGATTGTTAAATATGGTCTCTATGTTCTTTGCGATGCATTTGATGTTCTCCTCGATTAAATGCCTTTCCATTTCGACGCGTTCAGATTTCCTATGACTAGGATCACCTATCAAACCTGTAGCTCCTCCTACTAAGGCTATAACTTGATGTCCAGCTCTTTGCCAATGCAGGAGATTCATCAGGACGAGTAGATTGCCGACATGTAAACTATCTGCTGTTGGATCGAAGCCAGCATAGACGCATTGGGGTGCCTTTTTCAGTAAATCTACTATTTCATTTCTGAAAAGATGTATATAAATTGATGTATAATACTTATAAATATCAGAAGGTGATAACGTAAACAATTTTTATAATATCAAGTTGCACAGCGTAAGATAATTTTGTATACTTACGTACTAGTATCGGGAAATATATCCTCGTACATGCCCCTCTCATGAAGTTCCAATACATTTCTGCTGCAGTAAAATCTGCGTTTGTAAACATTAACGTTTCTGATGGTGGAACATAACCTTAATAAAGAACGTGCGTTCATTTCGCCGTATATTCGTTTCGACTTTAGAAGTGATACGGATAATTATTTTCGAAACTAGATTTTGTCCTGAAATTGCTGTATAAAAATGTGCGTAGGTAAATTCATACAATCACTAATATTCGCAATTCAAATTTAAGGATTATACCGTCGGCCGATCTCAACCTCAAATAATGCGGCATCTGCCTGCCGATCTGCTTCGCCGTAGCACTTAGCAGGGTATACACATAAGTATGTAGGATACTTGTGGTAGCGGATGTCGACATCTTAGGAAATGAATTTAAATCGAAACATTTATTGTATGTCGATATATTTACAAAAGAATACATATAAGCACATTAAATATCAGGCTAAATGTTTCTGTGTGCAATCATAAGTTGTTATTATAGTATAGCAAAAATTTTGCTTATTAGTATCCTATTTTAGAGGGTGGTGTAGCAAAATATTTCTTGTTTCTCCTCACAAAAGAGCGGCTGTAAATAAAAGTGAAATGTGAAATAAAGAAAATACAGGCTATATATAGACAAGATGCAATTTATGCGTTATTTACCTAGAACTGAGAGGTGTATTGAAAAAACCCCGGGAGATACTACGCTTGAGAAGTGACTCTACGGATGGCGTATGTTTTAATTCTCCCGTTTTCGGAGTGTTAAAGCCATTCAAGTTTGTAGGGTTCACGTAAGTTGCCCAATAATCAGATGGAATTTGAAGTAAACTCTCCACTATCTAGAACATAATTACATACATTACATTATTATTTCCCATATCAGCTATGTCACATCATCAAAAGTTTCTCTTACCGCAGCTTGATGTTTAACGTCGTTTAGAGATGGTTCCTGCGAGTTGTAACCGACTAAGGTTGGTCCAAAGACCTTGGCGAGATTACTGATGGGCATCTTACATTCAGCGCTACTCGATACTCTCTGTAAATGTAACATCAAAAAGGCCAGAGTATCTCGGTTTGGTTGCGGTAGTTCTGATATTGCTTGATAAAGAGCGGCGTCAGCGTCCTGTTTGTCCTCAAGTTGTGTCGCGCGTGTGAAGTCTTTCCTCAAACCGACGGTGATCAGTGGCTCTAATGATCTATAAAATAAGAATTTAAGTAAATACATATACTGCATCCTTTATGTACGATGCATATTTCAGGTGATGTACCTGAGAAAATCTTTCAAAGTAGAGCAGATAGTCGCAATATCGACGTTAGAAAGATTCGGGGCCCCTTTGTTTTTTAGGAATTTATCTTTAAGACTCCTGACATCTGCGACTGCTCCGTTCACTCTGTATAATCCTTGCTCGTTCATTCCGCGTAATTCAATCTCGTTTATGCAGTGAACTACTATGGAAGGTACCATAGGTGATGTCATAGGTGTATAATCAGCTATAGTGCTCTATACATGAAAATACCATTTATGAAGATATATTGACGCAAAAATGTTTTATTGATGTGGAAATTATAATAATGGTACTTACGCCGCGTAACGTAGGCGTATTTCCCGTTGGGATACATGGTAGTGGTACTGAATTTTTGCACTCAATATGAGCCGTAGCTCTACAATCTCTGCACTTCTGCATGGGCTTTCCCCATCGGATTCTATTAATAAATTAAAAGGCATTAAGATTTTTCTTTATATCTATAACTCAATTTTATCAATTTAATTATAAGCAATACAAGCTTTAATATGTTCACATAATAGAAGAATAAGCTTACTTTTTTCCACAAGCTGTGCACATTTCCGTTTTGCCGTAAATATTTTTGGCTATAAAATTATGATTCCTCGACATTTTTGTATTCATGGTATAGCCACCAATATTTGGACTTGGTTTACAGACATCCTCCGAGTCTGAAGTCGATGTGAGAATATCAGCCTTTGGTGCTGACGGCTAAAAAGAAGAAAATTATTTCCTATAAAATTCTGCACATATATTTCAAATGTAGAATAATTCAATTACATGATTTAATAACGTACCGCTATATCGATTGGCATTTCGTTAACATCGATGTGCGACAATTTTGATTTGTTATGTTCCGTACTACTCTTACGCCGCTTGCGTGAATTGTGTAAGGGTATCTGGGGATCTGCGTTTTCATCACCGGGTATAGCTTCAATTGTGGACGATGCAGTAATTGTACCATCCTTTGGCATAACTACGGTAGTAGTCGCTACTATTCTATCAGAAGGGTTTAATTCAGTAGCTTTGTGCAATGCGCTGCGACGATGCTTCTTGGAATATTCGCTACTGGGGCGATGCTCTTTCCACTCTCGTTTTTTCTGCTTTTGCAAAATATTGCTGATCTCCAAGTCATCTTCTGATCTCGATAGGCAGTTCAGGTCACTCAATAACGAGCCAGTGGAATTCAATTCCGCTATCGTGTTAAGCCTAAAATACAAATAGTACGATATTGTCACATAATCCAATATAGGATCTGTTTTCTATTGCTGAACTGGTTGCATTAGCAATAGAAAACAGATCCATAGTTATCAGTTTTCAAGTACTAAAATGCTTACTTGTCGAAAGGCATGTCTTGAGTATGCATGCTACTTTGACGATTCAATGAAGTGTTATTAAGAAATTGCAATTTCTCTCTTGTTTCATCATTTATATTTTTCCCTTTGTCATTAAACAGGAAATCCCTGGCTGTAGCAATTTGTTTTTCCTGGAAAACAATATAGATATGAATAATTTGACTTGATTATTACAGCTAAAATATCTTTTAGAAATAAAAGAAGTATCAGCTACCAAAAGATCTCTCTGTTCCTCAGCAGCACGACGCTTGCGGTTCTCCTCTTCCAAGTTTCTTCTTGCATGACGCAGTTTTCTATCGAAATCCGCAATTTCGTTATGAGCCTTGTCCAAAGCCGAATGAAGTCGTTGACATTCTTGTACCGACTCCAGCCATTTCTGTCTCATCTCCTCTTGACTTTCAGCGAATTGCAGGAATTCTGTGCAAAGCAATATTGAGGCAACATGTTCATATCTATGATACATCTATAATTGTAGAAAATTCTATTCCAAGACTATTGCAAAAAACTAACGAAATGAGTAACAAGCCTAGGATAATATTGATTATATATATATATATAACTATTAACGAACCTTCCTCGCAGGATCCATTTACCAAGACGTTCGTACATCTCACCAGCTCGTCATATGTAGCTAAAAGTGACAACGACGTCATTCTTGTGCTTATTTTGTTGCTTTTTCTGTATTTCGTTGCTTCTAAACTGCTATTTTGCTGACATGTCACCGGCCTGCAACACTTAGTGTTTCGTTCGTCGCGTGGTCGACGATAGTACACAAAAACGGTTCAATGAAACGTTAAATCCGTACAAGCAACCGCACGCGTCGTACCGGTCGTACGCCGTCCTCGTCGGAGTTTGGAGTTTTGAAAGTCGCCCCTTTCTAACCGTTAAGTTGACGAACATGACCTCTAGTGGAGAAAACGTGAATTACGGTTAGGGAAGATTCACATTTTGTCTGACGTCCAATGAGGCTCGATATCCGATAGGGGAATTCGTTTTTTAAAGACTCTAGCAAAATCTCTAGAAAACGAACTTTCCTATTGGATATCGGACGCAGTGTAACTGTGTGAATAGTAGAATATAGTATTGGGGAAAAATGTATCGCTTCCACCGAAATTATCAAGTTATCTTTGTAACCAATTTATTATATATATATATAAATTTTATTCTCACTTGATCTATACACAAATACAATGAAGTTCGTATGACCTTTTTATATTGATTAATCAGATTTAATTGCATGTGTTTATAATTAAAATTCTGCTTATTTATATTTTTCTTTTAACAATATAATAAAATAAATCAATAAATCAACAGTTTTTAAATAATTTTTAGAACTTTTGTACAATATAGCGTAATTAAAAGATGTGGAGAATTGTAAACAAAATCCTACATATGTATCTATATTACGTCTACATATATATTTTATATATTAGAATAATAGATGTATTACAACTTTTTCTTTCTGATATATTACTAGGATATCTAATATATTACGCATTAAAAAATGTTCTTATTATGGCCCGAATGAGATTTGTATATGATTTAGAATTTATCACGTCTTTAGGTATTAAATTCTTATTATATAACAAAATTTCTAAAAATCATTGTTTATCTTTGTTCATTGATTAAGTTTTAATACCATTTGGAGAACATAAACTATCTTTTTGGATACACAATGTCTTAAGCTTGGAAAGTACAGAAATGAGCTCTGCCTGTACATTTGCTATCTTCGTTGCATGATAGATGGATTCCTGGAAACGTTTCTGACTGTTCCTCAAGTTTTGCGGGACTAGTACGCCGAACCATTTTATAGGATCCCCTGGTCCATCTGCGTCATCGTTTAACTTTTTAAAACTGATGTCAAAACATGGTACAGTATCATTATCTTCATCTGTTGTTTTAGTTTCCAAATCAAACAAGGATGTCACTGTATCTTCTTTGTTTGGAACCTGTAACATACTGATATTCTCCTTTCCACGAATATATTTCGCTTTTGCCAATTCAATGTGACCATCCTTCAGCAAAGTTTCCATTTGAATATTTCCACGAACTTTTTCCTCTATTAATTCTAATTTACGTAACATCAACTCGTCAATGTCTTCTGATAAAACATCTATGTTTTTATCCATTTCGTAATATGTGATTATCAACACAAAACTTAATAATTGTAGTGTACGTAGGACAAAGAGGTTTTATCTGAAAGCAAAACATCGAAGATTGAAGTTATTGATGTACAAACATTTCTTCATTGCTGGAGAAATAAATATAAAAAGATGTATAATTTAAAAAATATAATCAATCATAAAAAAAAACATATTGTCTATTTTATATGAAATAACTTACGTGTATATTAAATATCAATTACTGTTAATAAATATCGTTTTCACCAATCTTGCAATTAGCGTTCTGAATATTTTGGTTTCATTGACAAATTAAATCTGTTTCTCCTGTCTCTTGTAATCCTTGAAGAAGATTCAACCAAACTTTCATTATTATTTTTATTAAAAGTCAAGTGACATTAAGGTTATTCTCAAAGTGTACGCTGTTTTCAACACGATAAGAAAAATTCGTTCCGAAATTATTTTCAGCCGTACCAGAGAAAAGCCTGAGACGAGAGAGGCCATCCCGGCCTTTTTCGTGGGACTGTCGAAAGCCTCTGTACACTAGCGCCAGTGCATCCATTTACTACGTAGCCATGTTCACTTTCCGACACTGCCGATAAAACATCATTTTGGTGCGCGTCAGTGCTACATCTGCAAATATTTAATATATAATAAAAATATATGAAATAAGTTATTAATATTTATCGATACATGTAAGATATACATATTAAACTAATCTTCAACCAATTACAATCGAGATTATTTATATCTTATATGTATCGATAAATATTAACTTAATTATTTTATGTATATTATATATTAAATATCTAATAGCTCTTTCTCCCTCTCTCATTATTTTCTTCTTTCACTTTCACACTTCCCAGACAGCACAATGTCCAAAATCGGAAAATAAAGACCTTTTAGCTATCTTTTCGTAAGACATCTAAAATATGTCTTTAAAAGACGTCTTATATGTCCCGCTTTTGGACATGTTTGTTGTCTGGGTTAGTTGAAATAAAAGATATGTATCTCCTATCAATTTAAAAATCCGAATACGAGACAACAGGCCTTTATGGAAAATTTTGTAAGCAAAACGAATAATATTTGGGGAACAAGCAACAGAGAATGTTTTATAATTCGTGATAGAGTCGAGCCCCCGAGTCCGGCCAATCACGTTCGGCCGCGCTCGTCGCCGCGGCGCCGGCGCGGCGGCTCGATGCAGCGGCGTACTAGGCATCGCATCGCACAGTCCCACAGTCCGTGAGTGACCGTGAGTCGGTACCAGCGGCGGCAGCGGCGCGACCCGCGCGACCGTTGAATCGGTTAAATGAATCCGTCGACTTCGGAGCAGCGTATATACGTTCGAAGTCGGCGAGACGGTCTTGCTACTTATTTTCGTCGACGCTCGGAATACCGTTACCTGCGGATGTTACTCAATCATTCTCTCGATGAATTTCGGACAGGTGTGAAGTGTCAAGTGTTTGTGCTCCGCGCGTGTCGCCGTGCTCCGTGCTGCAGCACATGTGGGTGCTGTTATTCGAAACGCGCTCGTTCATGTGATTGGCATTCCTGCTCCTCGTTCCGCGGAATAATCAACGACGCGCTCGATAATTTGCAATTTGCAATAGTGTATCAAGGGTCGTGAATGAATGTGTCGCGCGAATCCGGCGAATCGGTCGCTCGAGGCGGAGACGTCGAGGCAAAGTGTACGTGAAAGGCAATTGTGAGTGATTTGCAGTTTGTGATATTCGCGAGCGATAATCGCTCGTCCCGCCCCGCCATATGCCTGATGGATTCTCGAATGTGACATTCATTTACGCAGCATATATCTCGTGTCCTATGCTTTGAACGCGCCGAAGAGGGCCGAGTGACAATCGTGAAATCGTATCGTGATTCATAAGTGATTCAAGTAATAGCACGCTGCGATACAACGCTCGTTCATTTCTTATTTTCGTGTATTTCGTGCCGTGTATAAGTTGACGGTCCACAGTTGCGACTCCTCGTTGTGCAAAGCATATTAATATATATAGTACTTACATTCGCGAGATTTACGTGCTCGTTACCGCAATGTGCATACGATACGGTATTTAATCTTAATTATGGTTTTGTTTAATCAACTGCGTGTCTTTATACTAACCGTCCACATGATTCGCGTAGTATCTCGCGTCAAGATCTTCGAACATTTCATCGCTATTAACGCGACTGCAACGCAATGATGAAACGCGGAACGAATCGAGGCAATCGGCGTCGCGATTCTTTCAAATTTGTATGAAAAATCTATCAATCTATGTTAGAAAATCGATAACTTGATTTTATGTTATACCAGCTTTTATATCGCACACAGTAAAGTATTATACTTCCTTCCCATGGGTACGGTACGACCTTGGCGAGGCCCAGTATCCAGTACGAGGATTTTATCCAAGCAAAACTCTTGTTCTGCTTGGATAAAAATCCAAAGACGGGGAAGCTAACGTACCCTCGTCCGCCGATTTAATTAAATGAACGAACTGCAGCCGGTTTGTCGCGTTTGCTTCGGGAGTGCCGTTCAAGTAATCGGACTAAAGGACTTTTTTAAACGGGAGTGCCGTACAGTATCGCGCGAGAAAGACTTTTACCGAAATTAGTCCACGCGCGGATTGTTGTTTATCATCCGCGAGTATTTCTCGCGAGTGTCCTGTGCGGTGAGAGGAGGAGGCCTGACGTTCTGAGAGGAGGAGGAGGAGGTCTGAGAGAGACATCGGGCCCCGGCGGAGCAACCTTGGGGTGAGTATCATCTCTTATCTGCATAATAATTCTTTTTTACTTATTTAGATTGTTTTATCTCGATAAGTTAAAAATGATTAGAGAAAGAAAAATTATCTAAAATTTTACACTTGTAAAGATCTTTTTCGGTAAATATTATAGATAATTGTATTGCTAAATATTATATATATATTGAAATGTATTGAAAAACGAATCAGAGGCGCGTAAAAATTATCTTTTGAAATATTGATCATTTTGAACGCTTCTTTAATTTAAATTTTATGTTTGTATGTTACAGTATCATCGTAGCTACGTGAATAACTCCGCCTGTTGCGCATCGGGTTAATTGGTGAGTCTGATTTTCTTTTTTTTACTGAGGTAACGAATCTACGATTAATAAAATATAGAGCAAATATATCTCGATGCATGTCGAATTATGACAATAAATTGTAGTATAAATTTATTACATTTCGTAGATACGTTGCCTTAAAATGGATGGGCTAAAACTAATTACGGCAAATATTTAATCTTGGTCACTTGTTTATTATTGTGCGAATGTGCTTGAGGAAATACTATCACACTTCGCACACATAGAGCTCGCAAAGAGCTCATTATCGTCGAATTACGTTGACAAACTTTCGCGTTCTATATAATATAAATAAATTTTTAATATAAACTTTTAAATTCTAAATAAAATATTATATCGAATCAGAATTTTATTTCGCGAATTTAAGTTAGTAAATTAGTAAATTACACAGTAAGTTAAATTTTCGAAATTTTGTTACGTAGATCAATTCTATTTACAATTAGAGTAATAAAATTTTTGAGAAACACAAAAAAATATAAAGTAAAGTAATACTATCACAATTAAAGTAATAATTTTGAAAATGTAAAATTTTTATTTAGATTTTTTATAAAATTATTTTTGTATTATTTTTCTCGAACAAAAGAGAAAAGAGAAAAATATTATGCTAAAAAAATAAAATAAAATAATTTTGTAGATAGGGAAAAACTATGAATTAGTTAGATTGTGTTATTTATATCCTATTTCTTTTCATATACTTAGCCAAGATTAAATATTATAAAAATCGAGGAAGTAATATAAATATATAATAAAAAGAATAAGAAATATTTGGGTTTTATTATGCAATTTATTTTATAGAAAACGCGATATAATGATTATTAGTTATTAACTATTAAAATTTATTTTAACAAAGCATCAATTTTACCCTAATTATTTGTAGCCTATCTATCTATTTTTGATTAAGAAATTGACTTTATACCAGTCAAGTAATATATGACGTGAGATTGTAAATATTCATCATAACATATAATAAGTTCATAAATTTGCGAATGAGCATTTAAAAATGTTTTCTTATTCCACTTGTATTACCGTTTTTCATTTTTACTTCTTTTTTCTCTGATGTACATAATTTACAGACTGCGATTTTACCTTGATTTTCTCGTTTTTCGAAGAAAAATGCTTTTTTTAATAATATTTTTTTATCGCCAGTCCAATAATCTGTGGATTTGCTTTGATCAGGCGTACAATTTCTGTCATCCTTGTCATTTTGAATTTTATTTTCCATATTTGTCGTTTTTTCTATAAGCGAGTTAAAAATAATAATAATGTTAATGTTGGCAATATTGTTATGAGTATAATAATGTAATATATAATTGATAAAGATATTAATTATGTCTTACGTGATATTTCAGCAAGTCGTTGCTTTTTATAATAAGAATTATTATTTGTTTCGATCATTATCATCCGCTAAACTTGAAGTGCTTGGTCTGTATAGAAAAGTGTCGTGATTAAAAATAGAAAAAAGTAATAATTATTAAAATACTACAACTGTATATGTATTACTTAGTGCTATTATGTTCTTATTGACGTGAACCGTAATGGAGTAAAATTTTGTAAGTGAGAGTAAGTAGGAGGAAGAAAAAGAAAGAGATAGAAAGAAAAAATGTTTTATACCTCGAATTTTTGCAATACTAATGTCAAACAAATAAATATTTAATCTAAATTTCTGAATTGTTTATATCTATGATGCATGATAGAACGTGAAAATAAGCGATTCATATATTTATTTAAATTATATTTGCGAAATAATTAAAAAATAATCATTATTACGGTTTGAGAGATACGAGAGAGATTTATGATCAAAATTGCAAATAAATATTATATGGATGCCCTCATGAAAACTTTTATTCGCTCAATTTTCTTTAGCTATTGATTGTTTTAGATATCATTACATTTATTTTATAACCTTTAGTATTTTAATAACTTTTTGAATGTGTACTTACTCATCTTGACTCTGGATTCTTGTGGAATGTTTTCTTAAATGTTTTCGTAAATGTTCCATACCTGATAAGAAAGACAATGTTTTGTCACAATCTTTACATTTTGCCTTATATCTCGATAACTCCGAGTAATATTGGCTCAAGTCGTCAGGTAGTGTGAAAGTGTCATTATTAAGAAATATTCCATGTTTAATTGATAAATGTGCTCTGAATGTTTTTATACGGTTTGATAGACGAGATATCTTAATTTCTTTTTTACAGATGGTGCACTTTACCAGCAAAGGTTTTAATTCCTTGAAATAATTCCACAACTTGCTGCGTCTTTTTATCGGTGCCTTTATAATTGTCCTGTAATACAGATTGTCCGATATTAAAAGTGGTACAGCGATTGCATCAACAAGCGTTTGTAGAATTTTTCACAAATGTCATAAAGACACATTTAATTTATTAGAATGTATGTTTTTATGGATATATAGTTAAAATTTGCATAATTATATATCAGATCGCGTACAGATCTGCAAAATATTAAAAAAAAAGAAGTAAGAATTGCACCAGATGTACATGCACATTTACGATAAAAATTATATATAAATATTATATGGATGCCCCGATAAAAACTTTTATTCACTCAATTTTCTTTAGCTACTGATTGTTTTATCATTATACATTTATTTTTATAGTTTTTAGTATTTCAATAATTTTTTGAATGTGTACTTACTCATTTGGACTCTGGATACTTGTGGAATGTCTTCTTAAATGTCTGCGTAAATTTTTATAATCTATTAAGAAAGATACTGTTTCGCCGCAATTATTGCATTTTGCCTTATATCCCGGTAACTCCGAGTAATATCGCCTTAAGTTGTCAGGTAGAGTGTCATTATCGAGAAATATTCCATGTCTATTTAAGTGCACTCTCATTACGTATGTGTAGTTTCCTGGAGAAGATATTTTAATTTCTTTTTTACAGGTTGTGCACTTTATTAGCAAAGGTTTTAATTCCTCAAAATAATTCCACAACTTGCTGCGTTTTTTTTTCAGTGCCATTATAACAGTCCTGTAATACATATTGTCTTATACTAAATGTGATACAGTGATCGCCTCAACAAGTGTTTGCAGATGTTCTCACAAAAGTAAAAAAAGGCATGGTTTATTTATTAGAATGTACGTTTATATGGATATAATAGTTTGAATTTACCTAAATTATCAGACCGCGTACAGACCTACGAAACTTATGGTTAAAGAAAAAACAAAACCCGCGTCAAGTGTTTCTTGTGTGTGAAGCTACATAATAAAAAAAAAACAGGTTGCGGACTTATTCTAAAAAAGAACATGTACACAAATATAATAAAAAAATATTATATTTTTTAAAACCAGACGTTACTAATTTATCATATTCACTTGACGCAAACCTTCAGGTATATATTATTGTATTTATAGTAAGAAATATAAATAAAACTATAAGACCAAATTAGATTAAATAACTTTTCAATAATAATTTTGTAAGAAACACGTATACTTGGCGCGTCTTTTTAATTTTTTTTAAAAAAGGCTGTTTTGTACGATTATCACTTCTTTTTGCAAGTACATGTGGGAATCATGAAAATGCAAAACTTTCGATGTATAAATTTGCAAATAAGATAAAAGTGGACGATATAATTATTTAAAATTTTACATATGTAATATATACTTCTGTAGAGAGCTCAATATTTAAATATTTGGATATCTTTACATTGTATAATTAATACGAATAATTACTTATTAAGTGCGCTAGTTCCTTTCCTCATTTGTTCAAATGATTGAGCGGGCAAACTAAGTGATTCTTGGCTTCGATCTCGCCTTTGATGGTCTGCAGAAGGATCTATACTATTGTCCGCTAAACTTGAAGTGCTTGGTCTGCATAGAAAAGTAGTATAATTAAAAAATTAAAAAAAATAATTATTATTAAAATTCTACAAACGTACATATTACTTAATGCTATTATGTACTTATTGACGGTGAACCGTAATGGAGTGAAATTTTGTAAGTGAGAGTGAATAGGAGAAAGAAAAAGAAAAAAATAAGGAGAGAATGTTTTATACCTCGAATTTCTTTAATGCTAATGTCAAATAATTAATGTCTAGACTGAATTTGTGATTAATAGATAAGTGAAACATGATATGATATAAAATTGAGTTAGGGTGAAACGCTATTTTAATGTTATTAATCTATTCTAGCTTTAGATGAGATAAAGAAATGTATATAAATTCACACAAATAACATTATATTAGTTTACTAAAATCCTGTCCTGAGACCGTAAAATGGTGTATCTCTCTAATTAAACTTACGATATTTTGTACGTTACAATGATTTTTTGAGAAACGTTTAAACCAATGAGTATACGCGTTTAAACATAAGACGAATACGGTCACCAATTAAAACGGTCGAAAATGATAGAATGTCTTCACAAAAAATTGTAGATAATGACAGAAAAAATTAGGTTGGTGCTACATATATAATAATAATCTCAAGGGTAACGAATAATTAATATCACTATGCTGACATTTGAAGATCTATAACGTATATTCAAATATTATAAAAAACCGTTGATTGTTAGCTAATAGAAATTTTTATTAATTATTAATTATTTAAGTAATATGTGGATGGCATATTTGAGTTGTGCCATATACATTTTCTTAAATAAAGCTATTTAATTTGAATACTGAATTTGAATAAAAACTATGTATAAATCATATATTTTATACAGGGTGTTTTAGAAGTAAGTACACAAACTTGAAGATGTTCCTTGGTTTATTTTAAGAAGAAAAGGTCTTATAAACATGTGTCTAAAATACTTTGTTTTCAAAACACATGGTGTCAAAGACACACGCTCTAGGTGGATTTAAAAATGTTTCATTGGTACTGGAAAATAATTCTTAATACTACATATACGCATACCAAATTTGAATAAAATGTCTTTAAACGTTCTCCAGATTTTCGAAATTTTCATTTTTTTTTTCACAACTTTGACATCTTGTATTTTGAAAACGAAGTACCTAGTTTATGACACATGTTTAGAAAACCTTTTCTTCTTAAAATTAGCCAAGAAATATCCCCTTCAAGTATGTGTAATTACTTAGGAAACGCTCTGTATATCTGCCTCCAATTTCTGCAGTATTAATGTCAAACAAATAAACATCTTTAATCTAAATTTCTGATCTATATCTATGATGCATGAAAGAACGTGAAAATAAACGATTTAAATTTATTTAACTTAGGTAAAATAATTGAAATATTATTATTATTATTATTATTATTATTATTTGAGAGACGTGGTTGTGATCAAAATTGCAAATAAATATTATATGAACGACCTGATAAAAACTTGCATTCGCACTTTTTCTTTAACTTTTGATCGTTTTATTGCATATATTTTATAGTCTAGTATTTTAATAATTTTTTGAATGTGTACTTACTCATCTCGGCTCAGGATTCTTGTCGAATGTCTTCTTAAATGTTTTCGTAAACGTACAATATTTGTTAAGAAAGACATTGTTTTACCACAATCATTACACTTTGCCTTATATCTCGGTAACTCTGCGTAATATTGCCTCAAGTCATCAGGTAGTGCGAAAGTGTCATTATTGAAAAATATTCCATGTCTTTTTAAGTGTCCTATCGTTATTACTGTGCTGTTTGATGGATGAGGCACATAAATTTCGATTTTACAAATTACGCACTTTATCAACGAAGGTTTCAATTTTTCGAAATATTTCCATAACTTCCTGCGTTTTTTTCTCGATATCGTAACTGTTCTGTAATACATATTGTTTGATATTAAATGTGGTACAGTGATTGCCTCAACAAGAACAAGCGTTTGTAGAATTTCTCACAAAGGTCATAGAGAGGCATGGTTTACTTATTAGGATGTATGTTTATATGGATATATAGTTTAAATTTGCATAATTATCAGATCGCGTACAGATCTTCAAACATATCTTTTTCAAAGAAAGGTAAAAAACGCACCATGTAGGGGAGATCGGAACGAAGTCACCTCTTTTTTTTCGGTGCCGATTTTTAACAACAAAATAAATAATTTTAGTGAAATATAGTATACCATTGTAAAGAGTGAACCCTTGGCTACAAAATTTATATAGGCATTTTTGGTCTACGTCGCTTTGTTCAACCGGTATAGAGTAAAAACGACAAAGGTGCAAAAATCGAAAAGTCAAAATTCCCGTGGCGGAGTCGTGTCTTCATTCTCGGACTGGATTTTAAATAAAGATACATAATTTTTATCATAAAAAATAATAGAATACACTTTATTCATTGTTTTTTAGTAGAAAAATGGAAAGCAAAAAATAATTTCAAGAAAATCAATTTTTTTTTTCGCTAACAGTCAAAGCATGTAAAAACAAAGTCTGACGAGCGCATGCACTCGTTGTGTGCCTTACGCTTGCACGAAATGCACTGTTTTTCATCGGCTTGTTTTCTATTATCTCCGAGCATACACGCAGCACATATTATTTAGGTTTTTTGATTTCGTTTTGGCTTGGAAACGACTTCGCCCCGAACACAAGTTTTAGGTTTAGTCGGTTATAAAATAATAAAAATCAATGAAAAATAAAAAACTGCACTGGATTCGTGTTCAGCATGCATTACTTTTTAGAATCACTTACTTTGAGATTCGGAGAGACAGCAATACGTGGGCACCATAAGCTGCGTTTGCAGTATTAATGGCGAGTTCACACAACATACATATTTCGAAATAATTGCAAAAACGACTTCGCCCCGGTCTCCCCCGCATGCACTTTTATGATCAAAATTGCATATAAATATTATATGGATGCGCCAATAAAAACTTTTATTTACTCAATTTTTTTTAGCTACTGATTGTTTTATCATTACATTTATTTTATAATTTTTAGTATTTTAATAATTTTTTAATTGTATACTTACTCATCTTGACTCTGGATTATTGTGGAATGTTTTTTTAAATGTTTTCGTAAATATGCCTTGTTCGTTAAGAAAGACATTATTTTACTACAGTTATTACATTTTGCCTTATAGCCCGGTAATTCCGAGTAATATTGCCTTAAGTCGTCAGGTAGTCTATAAATGTCATCATCGGGGTATATTCTATGTACATTTACTAAGTGTACTCTGAATATTAACATAGACTTCGTTCGATTAGGTATCTTAATTTCTTTTTTACAGGTCGTGCACTTTACCAGCGAAGGATTCAATTCCTCAAAATAATTCCATAACTTGTTACGTCTTCTTGCCGGTGCCGTTGTAATCGTCCTGTAATACAGATTAATCGTCTGATACTGAATGCAATAA